ATATTATATATGTGTAGTGCTTATTGAAAAGGATCAAGATCAGTGATCGAGCTAACACGGATTAATGCGAGTTTGTGATCCTGGGTTTCCCCCCCTTGCGATTGTCAGGCAAACTGTTTCATTTTCAAAATTTTGAATCTATTTATGGTTATCTATGGACGGTGGTGGGCGGAAAAATTCTCCTTTGTGCTTGTTTCAGGATGACACTCATATATACGCAGACATACATACATGCAGGTGTACGTATTGTAGTTCACACAAACATATATATATATGAACAGTGTGCGACTGGACGCAGACATGTATCCATGTGTCGGTGTGTGTATACATACGCAATTTTCCTTGTTTTCGGTGTTGGGTTTGTGTAGCGAATTTCCCTCAACAAATTGCGGTGTGGAGTGTTGCTGTCATCTTATAGATCAATCGTCTATTTTGTTAACAGAATAATAATTTCTCACACACACGCATGTATACGTGTACATATATTTCTGTCTGGATTTTGAATTACTTAAAATGGATTCTGTATTAGATTATGAGAGATAATTTTGTTATTATTTTCACGTTGCTTATTTGCGTGTTGTAGACGATTACAGTTATATAAATAGTAGAAGTTCTAATTTATAATACTTATTGGTATTTTTTCGGAATATTGGCACTAATTTTGATAAGGGAGGGGGAGTATGATTGTAAAATAATGCGGCGATAGGTATTGGTGGTGGTGAAATAGTGAGAATGAAATAATAATTGCAATGTTGAGAGCAATAACAATACTAAAACATTATGGGAGTAATGACAAATGGGGCAAATGGTAAGAATGATATAATAAATACAGTATTAAATAAATTAATAGTAAAACTGACATTATAATTACAATATTGGGGGGGAGGGCAATGATGATGGTAAACTATAATTAGAGTGATGGAAGTTGGGGGGTGGGATTGTTGTGGTAGTAATAGTGGAAGTAAAGGATAATGGTAATAACAATGGTAGCAGCAAATAATTATGGTAATAATAATAGTAGTGATGATGGTAATTGGAGTGAAATGATGATAATAATAATTATTATGGTAATTGGAATAAATAAATAATTAATGGTAATAACTAATAATAAAAATATAATAAATTTACAATTAAAAATTAAAACTTTCTGTAGTAAAATATAATATATAATAAATAATGAAACAGAAATGGTGTTAACTAAATGATGGGAATGGATGGTTGTGGAGGTGGTGATAAATAATAAAAACAACGGCAATACTAAAAAGAAGTATGAATCTTGTGGGAGAGGTGTATGAAATGATAATAATAGCAGTAGTTATTTTGCGGTGGCTGCATACGGTGGTGGGGGTGGACCTGGGAACACCAACAATTAAGAGGTAGTTCCACGTTCCTTAAAACGTCCTGATTAGAGGCCTCGCTGTTGGATGTAGTTTATCGTCATACCCAGGACGTCTGAAGGTGCACTGGAATAGCAAAGTTGCCTTCCAGAAACTAAGCAACGAGATGTGAAAATATCGTTAGATACAATGAGAGCAAGTAAGGATTCAGTAGGTTAACATAAATAATTGCAGACGTTAAGATATTATTCTTGCTCTTCGAGATAATATAGATCCGGAGAGAATTCAAGAAGCACTGGAAATAGTTCCTTTCCAAAATTTGTAACGAACGGGTATTATTCGTAATCTTGACTTGACCTGTTTTTAAAAAGTAGTGATTCTTCTGATTCCTCTGCTAAAGAAACCAGTCGTATGAATAACAACATATATCCTGTCTCAAAAATTCGTTTACTGGAAACTTTCTCAGAACTTATTGCTCCACGGCAGGCGTGCAACTTTTAAATTATTGTTTATCGGTGTGGAATACCTTTGAGATGGGGAATTGGCAAGATTCTCTGTCAAGCCATTAGCTGTAAATTCATAATCCGCTGGGGTTTTTTCGCATCTCGCTGGGGACATCGTGAATCTATGAGTCGACTTTTCAAGACGTCAGAGCAATTTGTTTTGAACGGAGTGTTTGGCTCGACTTCACATCAGTATAAAAGGTTCCTTGTGAACAACCATTTAAAATAATATATATATATATATATATATATATATATATATATATATATATATATATATATATATTCATGACCATGGAACCCGGGTTCGAATCTCACAATGGTCGATTTATCAGAAAGGAGACTTCCTGATATTATAGGAATGGACCGAGGTCGATCCCAGCGTGCGGACCTTTGGAAAGTGCGTGAAAATCATACCACGTGTTCACCCAATCCTTGTGAGTGAAATTAGGTAGACGAAACTCTTGAGGGCCATCGATAGCTGTGCTAGTACAAAGCCACAACTCATCGTGGCTTGAGTGTGCTGGCCTCGTTCAAAGGGTTTGATCACGCTAGATCTCACGCTCTCTCCCAGAAATTGTAACTAAGGTCTGCTCAGCATAGTTGCAGTATAAACCACAGGTGGGGTCTGTGAGTGGTGAGCAAAGACAAATGTGCCTGAGCGAGCGTCTGCAGTAGGGATTGGCTAGTCGCCATAGTAGACGGATATTCTCGAATACTATTGGCCAGCTATTATGTATGTATGTATGTATGTATGTATGTATGTATGTATGTATTAGTCAATGTAAAACAGGATTTTCACCAAAATACTCAATACATTTAATTATTAATAATTTGCCTCTCTTAACCCTAGAACACTAACCATCAATTAAAGTTACACCACTACTAACCATGGGTATACCATACCCGATTTTGAAAATATCAAAAAAAAATGTTAAATATAAATCTTTATTTAAAATATTTTACATGCTGGCGCTTCAAACTTTGTACTTTGAGTTAACATTAATAGGAACTGAAAAACATATTATTTAGCTAAGAAAATCAGGTGCTGAAAATTATAATTAAAAATAGGAAAATTTGCGCTGGGTACTATAAACCCATGGTTAGTGTTCTAGGGTTAAAGCAATAGTTTGTTTCTCTAACGTCGATAACTTAAATTACGGAACCCCCACCAAAAAAAAAAAAAACAAAATTAAAAAAATTAAAAAAAATTAAAAAATAAATATTTAGTTACATTTACTTTTTTTCGATGATTAGAAACTCAGTTCGATGTGCAAATTTGATGTAGGTGAATAATTTAATCTTTCAACTTGATGGCCAGTCTTGTATATTTTTTTTTATTTTTAAGGCTGGCTTCAACACCCAAGTTGCCTCCTTCGTTTTTAGTCTTGCTATCCAAATTTTCAGAAAAGAAAAGATTAACAATTTACGATATAAACTTTCTGCTCCATTTTAATTTGTCATCACCAAACCCAAATCCTCATAAGCAATAGGGACTGATTTGAAAAATTGATTTCATTATAGGTTTCCCAGTTGAGGTTAAGATTAACTTTGGAAATTTTCATTTCAGGATAGTGAAAAGTCAAATGTTGCTTAGTACAACAAGAGACAGGAAGTTGTGGAGAGTCATGGTCGTCACTGCCCGGAAGGGACACAAATAATGATCATTAGGTATTAAAGGGGGAAAAAAAAAGCAATTTTAGTTTTTTTCGAAAAAATGCAAATTAATCTTATTTTTTTAAAGGCTTCCATAATTTAAAATTATGGACGCAAATTATCGGTAGAGGCTAATTAATATAATGTAATTCTGAAAGGTGTTCAAAATAAAGACTCTGTATTAGATAAATGTTGTAAGGGATATTGGCACAGAAAGTGAAATCAGCGAACCACGTTCAATATTCGGTCTAATCTGTTGCACTCACTTTCACATAGATGCCGGTAGGAAAGGCCTGATACCGTCTCTTCTCTTAAAATTCAGCTATTGGTTAAATAGCATGGCAGACTGCGCCATCTAATATTGGGTGGTCACTAGTCTAGGGAAAATTATGAATTCCAACTTGTTAAGACGGCAACAGGAGACCGCTCTGCTATAGTTTCGAAAAATACATGGCAAACGAATCTGTGGAGAGTCCTGACCATTTACCATGTGAAGAGTCATTGCATTAAAAAAATACGCAGTTGTTGTTTGAGTCTCGGAGCGAGGAATCGGCGAGCCGAGTTCAAATTATCGCCGTTATTGTTACATTTATTTTCTCAAAGGTAGTCATGGAAAAGGTATGAATTCATCTTATCTCCTCTTTATGGGTTAAGTAACAGCACAGTTCGAATTCTCTTGTCGCATTTGGCGACTAGTATAAGAAAAGGATCATCTTAAATCCAAAACCGTATGTGACCCTGGGGGACACACATTTGAACTGTAACTAAATTCCGCTCAACCTAATTGCAGCATAAATTTGTTTGGCTTTGTGGATATTGAAGAAATACAAGTGGGCCTGAACAGATGGGCATGCCCGGAAACTAACAGCCATGCAGCAAATGAGAAATTACAATGATTTGCTGGTTGCCTTCAAGTCGAAACAGCTATGATGATTTGTCCGACAATTTCTTTGTCGCATCATTAATTTTGATTCTCACTTGTGCACCATAATTTTGGCCCTGTGCCAGGCTTAGTTGAGCTTATTAACATTCTAAGAATAATTACTAATATATTTATTGATGCCGAAGTTTCTTTCAATAAAATTCTATTTTCCCGCATAAATTCTGATAAATTTCCGTGGGTAATACGAGAAAATTTTCAGGGTACGCCTTTTGCTAATGTACATTACAGCCAACCGCATGGTGAGTTTTATGAAGGAAGTTATATATATATATATATAAAACAGATTTGTAGAGGAAGCATTATAGGCAAACCCGCCAGAGAAAAAAAAAGGAAAAAAAAAAAAACGAATATAAATTGTAAGAGGGTTGTTGGGGTGAATTAACCCTTTCCTGCCGATCCTAGATTTTCTGTCTTTTAATGAAGTGAAGAAAGGAAATATTTCCCTGTGTAGAATAACAGGTTGATTTCCGTTTTAAGTTCGCTTGCTTAACACACTGATTTTTGACTTTCCAGTTTTCTTTCTTTTTCTATATTTTTTTTTCTTTTCTCTTTTTATGACAGTATCCAAGGGACGAGGATTGACCTTGGCTTCTTTGATGATCTGTGATGGGGTTTCTCTTTCTTTTTTTTACCCACCTGTTAATGATGGGAAAATCTATCTGCGAAAGGTTTTCTTTATTTGCCAAACCGGTTTTATTACATCATAGTCTTAAAGCAAACAACAAAAATAAGAAAATAAAAAAAGCCCAAATTAATGTTTAGAAAATATCGATCATGACTTGTCTCATTGGCCTGTTATATTAATTAAAATTTTAACATCAGTTCAAGTTCGTATAATAATAATAATAATAGTAATAATAATAATAATTTATTAATTAATTATCTATCATAAATATTGATATATACGCACATACATGCTGACGCCAGAAATTGAACACGTGTCATCTACTCAACAAATGAAAGCAAAAAAAAATAGAATATGAAAATCGAAGAATTAGATTTTCACTTCTAAAAATTTCTGATGAAGCTCAATAAATAGCGAAACGTTAAATTCATAACAATTTTACTACTTTCTCCTTATTTTATAACTGAGACTGTTCCTATCTATCTATCTAAGCCAATTCACATCTATCTATCTATCTAATCCAATTCACATCTATCTATCTATCTATCTATCTATCTATCTATCTATTTATCTATCTAAGCCAATTAATATCTATCTATCTATCTAAGCCAGTTCATATCTATCTATCTAACCCAGTTCATATATATCTAACCTAATACATATCTATCTATCTATCTATCTATCTATCTATCTATCTATCTATCTATCTATCTAAGCCAATTCATATCTATCTATCTATCTATCTATCTATCTATCTATCTATCTATAACCTTTTTCAATATGGAAGCCTAAATTTACATGAGGACAATCTGATTTCTATTAGTGAGTTTTTGTTAGTGTAACTCAGTAAAAGTGGCACATGATAGCGAGATTTCTCCTAGAGCAATACCGGTATGATATTCTAAATTGTGCAATAAAGCAACTTTATTTTTCGCTAAGGTATCTAGACATTTTCTTTTAATTTAAGCGCAGTGTTAGAATGGCATCGAGATCTCATCAATTTACAGTTGAGTTAACTAGATGCAACCGTAAATTCTATGCTAACAGTTTCTTTACAAATGTAATAAATTATTTCACCACATTATTTCCTTTTAAAGGACTGCGGATCATCAGACTTTACTTCCAAAGGTTGAAACGAAAAATGAAAAGAAATTTACACATATCCTCCATGGGTCTACCCATACGGATTACCTAGTTTTCCATAAAGTACATATATATATGAAAGTGAACACAGAAGTCAACACTTACAGGCGACAGTCTGTTTCATGCTATATGCAATCTCCAGGCCATATATATATATATATATATATATATATATATATATATATATGTATGCATTATAGATCATTTGTGCTCACCTTTGGAATTAATAATTAGCTTTCATACACTCATTGCTTTAGTTAACTTCTACTTAGCTAGAATGCTGAAACTCTTTAATCCATTTATGCCTGATGTCTATTTTGTTAGGGAAGAAGTTGCCTAAAATTTTAAAACCGCCAGTTCAAAGATTACCATTAACCCACAAGGTAGATTGCGCAAAATTAGTTAGTTGAGCTTAATCTACCTTGCTATTTAACACGTAGCGTAAAGAAAATAGATTTTCAAGGGCATTAATGCAAAGTGACAGAAACAGGCTCGAGTAAAATTCGAAATCGGTACGCTATTTCCATTTTCTCTGTCGATAACTGTTGTACTTGGTGTCCAACATTTTAGAAACGGGATTACCTAAAATTTGAAATCCGCCAACCTTAAGATTACTATTAGCCAGTAAGGTAGATTATTCAAAAGGAGATAAAATTTTGCGTAAACTTTTTGCAGTAATGACTTAAATATATGAAAAAAGAAACCTTTATAAAGAGAAAGTCCCTTTGGCTCGAAGTGAGCTAGTTTTGAAAAAGTCGTCCAAGTTATAAATTTTGACCGATTTTTCGAAAACCAATGGGTGACCTCTTTGGAATATATATGCATGCATATATAGATAGTCTATCAGGAAGCATTTAAGCTAGCTCATGCGAGGGGCTTTTGATTGGGCCTTTATAACAATAGGTAGGAAGTAGTAGATGCGATAAACAACAATAAACTACAGAAGAACTTGAAATTGATTGCTGCATTTAAATATTGCACTAACATCTAAGCTTACCTTTTAAAAATTCAACGATAATTCTTCTGTCGTCACTTAATTTAGAGACAAATTGATGTACGTAGGTTTTTACTTTCCGTACAAACAATCATTTTTATTTCTTGGGGGACTTTCGCTGGATTTAGCAATTAATTTCGGTTATTGCCAAATCTATTTCCCAGTTACAAAAATTGTTATCATACAAAGAATTCGTCGCAAAAAATCACGTAAAAATTGCTGAAAACAATAATGAAACTTAGGAATCCAAAATTTCAGGATTGTGGGTCCAGATCCGGCCCGGTATAGTTTTAATTTGCTCACGGCGTCAACCTGATTTCAAAATGGTATATGTTGGGCTACGGTATCTCGGAGTAAAGTTGAAAAAATATGACATTGGCATTTTTTTTATATAGAAGGAGATGAGCTCTGGAGAGTTGTGACCCTTATATTGACAAATTTTAACACACTAACATTGGCATTTATTATATAGAAGAAGACGAGCTATTAAAGTTATGTCCCTTTAATTGAAAAAGTGCGAAACACTGACACACTGTTATTGGAATTTATTATATAGATATTGTGCATACTTATAACAAAATGTAGCCAGTAATGTACAGTTAAAAGAGCTAACATTTTATGGAAAATTTTTGCAATAAATTTCGTTATTATTATTATCACTATTATTATCGAATATATGATGAAACACTTCAGGAAGAGAAATTCCCTCTGGCCTGAAATGAGCTAGTAACTCACACACACACACACATATATATATATATATATATATATATATATATATATATATATATATATGTGTGTGTGTGTGTGTGTGTGTGTGTGTTTGTGTGTGTGTGTATATATATATATATATATATATATATATATATATATATATATATATATATCTGGTGCATGCGCGTGTATGTGTAATAGTACGACCATTTGACGATCACTCATCCATGTGGTCCCACCTCTATAAATTTAAGTGCAAACTTCAAAAGATTTTAATAAACCAATCCCTCTCTACTCTGGTCTAATGTTTTCTATTCACCTTGGGTTCAACTATTTTTCCTGTTTCCTTCTGTTGCCGAAAATTGTGCCGTTTTGACCCCCTCTTGTTTTTCCCATTTCCTTTTCAGATTTTCCAGAACCACTATGTGCCTGTTGAGTTCATAGTAGGAACTGTCAAGATGCAAAACTTGCTATCTTGAATAAACTGGCAAAGTTTCTAGGCATTTGGACAACCAAATTATACGCTTTGATTTGATAGTTCCGTCATAACGACAGCAGATGGTGTCGAAATGTTGCGAGACTGTCCAACGCTAAGTTTATACTGTTCAACGCATATGCGTACGCTGCTATTACTGCCTCAGTCTGCCTTAGTGCTATATACTAGTATCAGGCGAGATTTTTTAATGTTATATTTAAACGGCTCTGTGATCTTTACGATACATAAAAGGAACTCAGCTTCATCAACATTTGCATGAAATTTGTGACGCCTCCTAACATGATCTTGAAAATGCTTCTTCAAGCTCTTGGGAAATTTCCCTTAGATTGCACACATGTTTTTAAATGACTGGCCGTTTGCGTTTATTTTGCTCTAATACACTTTCGAAAGGTATAAATACACATCTTCTCCCCAATGCTATGGGACAAATACCAGACTAAACTTGGGTGTCAACCAGTATACAAAAAGAAAATCGAAGTGACTTCGAAACTGTGGAGAATGTAAAGGTTTCTCAAGAAGTCATAGCAATTTCTACATAATAATGTGAAGGAAGGCGTGGAAAGGCAATATCCACTACATCCTGAAAGAGGATAATATTAAAAATTATCAACACACACACACACACACACACACACACACACACACACACACACACATATATATATATATATATATATATATATATATATATATATATATTTTCAAGCACTTGAAAATAGCTTCGGTATATATATATGATGTTGAAAACTTATTTACCAATGTCCCTGTCAGTGAAATTATTGACATAATTATAAGAAATATATACAGTAACTCATCTTTTACCTCCACTTAAAATTAATGCTAATATATTACGGAAACTACTATTAGCTTTTACTACTGAAGTCCCTTTCTTAGATCATAATAATAATAATAATAATAATAATAATAATATATATATATATATATATATATATATATATATATATATATATATATATATATATATATATATATATATATATATATATATATATAACAACGATGGTGTTTCCATGGGTTCAGTACCAGGTCCGACATTTAGCAATTTCTACATTTTGAACCTCGAAAATAAGATATTTACAGATTTTAAAAAAATATCCATCTACCTAAGATATGTTGATGATATTCTTATGTTAGTTAAAAATACAGATGAAATCCTTCAACTTCAAAGACGTTTCTAAAATAATTCTCTCCTTACATTCACGTATGAACTCAATACTAATAATAAAATTCCCTTCCTTGACATATTGATAAACACAAATAACAAATTTACTATTTCGCCATGCAAAAAACCTACCAGCATAAATTCATGTACACTTAACTACAAAAGCGAATGTCCATATTACTACAAAATAGCAATTATAAAAAATCTAATACATTGGGCAAAAATCAATTCATCTACAAAACAGATTTTTTACAGTGAACTAAAGAATATAAAACAAACACATTAATAAAAGCTTTCCAAACTATATAGTTGATGAACAAATAAGATGCTTTCTTAGAAATCTCAATACAAAGCAAATAGTATATAATACTGCTTCTACTAATCTCAAACATATTAATCTCCTATATCGTAATCAAATGCATACTAATCATGAACAAGATGAAAATATACTAAAAATGTTTGTAAATACTAATATATCTACAACAGATCCTAGCAAAAATATTAAGTTAATCATATACTACACTAAATCTAGTATATCCAACTCAATTATTCGCAATGATTCTTCTTCCCCGGTTAGCGATTTGCAAAAAACCAACATAGTTTACAAATTCAAGTGCCCTTTGGGAGATTGTATCTCCAACGAATTAAATAATATTTATATTGATCACACCACAAACTCGCTTTCACGACGCTTGACACTACATTTGAATGATAACTCTAATATTTTTAGGCATTTAAAACAACATGCCTGGCTGCATACACAATTCCGGAAAATCCTTTTTGAAAACACAACTATACTTAAACATGAAAACAATAACAAAAAGCTAAAAATTCTTGAAGCTATATATATATAAAACATTTGAAACTTAAACTGAACAAAATAATTATGAAATCTCCAAGAATATTCTTAAATACCTATAATTGGTTACATAAGCCACTGGTTTATACCAACGTCTTCCTATATTTAATACTTCTCGTTTTCACTCTCGCGTGGTCATGTGTGACGTCATGAGCTGCGGTGCGATTTTCGCTTCCAGCGTCTTATATGCACGAGTTTGTCGTTGCTTGGAAGAGTTGTCTTTTGGCTCTACTGTTTAGATATGCCCTATCCTTGATATTGGGCACTTAAATCCATTAATGCAGCATACCTTAAATTGTATTTTTACCACACACACACGCGCGCGCACACACACACACACACACACACCCACACACACACACACATATATATATATATATATATATATATATATATATCAAATATGTGGTGCAGTTCAATTTAATGTATGAATGATTCATGAATGATTCATTG